AGCCTCAGTACTGGACAGAACCCTAAAAGGAGGAGGCATCGGAGGTTGATCATTTGGAGCTTCATTACGCGGTACAGCCCCAAAAGACGAAGGCAATAAATGCATTTGGAACAAACCTACAAACCGCTGATGATCAAGTAAAACCTGACCATCAGATTCCTTCATCTGGTCAAGCTTCATCTTCATGTTTGTAGCATAGTCATGTGCGAGCCGGTGCAACTGTTTATTCTCATGCTTGACCCATCTAATCTCCTGTTTGAGACTCATCACTTCAGTCGCCAATGATTCAACTTGGCGGGTTCGAGCAAATAGGCGTTGAGCCATATTAGACACAGAACCTGCACACTGAACACTTAGAGCCAGAGAATCCTTAACAACCAACTCATCAGACCGTTTGGAAAGTAGTCTGTTATCTTTGGGAGTGAGAAGGTTCCTGGCCACCACCGCAGCAGTCATATCATTCTTCATCACGGAATCCCTAACGGTTAGAGGACCAGTAGGGGATAAGAAGGATGGGCGCCATATGTTGTCTGGAGAATGCATGGCTGCCTCTTCAACAAGGTTCAAGTCAAAACGACGGTCGGAGGGGCCAGACATTTTCAAAGGTGTTGAAGAGAGAAGAGGTCGGACAAATTAAGATCTTAGAAGTGCAAGAATAGAGCTTCTACTGGTGAAGATTCAAGTGTGCTTTGGAACTTAATGCCAGCCTCTATAAAAATCTGCACTCGACGGAGCTTCAGAAATCGAAGAGGCGTCTGCCTAGAAATCGAAGAGGCGTTTGCTTTATCAAAAGTTGGGCTGCTCAGAGACCACGAGGTCCGATCTCAGAAATCGAAGAGGTGTTTACTTTCTCAAAAGCTGGGCTGCTCAAAGACCACGAAGGCCGATCTCAGAAATCGAAGAGGCGCTTGCTTTCTCAAAAGCTAGGCTGCTCAAAGACCACGAGGGCCAATCTCATAAATCAAAGAGGCACCTGCTTTTTTCAGCCTTGTCAGCACCTGTCACATGCACACTCAGCTTTGCTGAAATTACTGCATTCTGTTGAAGATTTCTGGTGAAGTAGAAAGCACGTGAATCTTACTGTTCAATCATCCACTTTCCACACACACCATCAGCTTATGGGTACCACATATAATTTTGCCAAAGATCTTTGACAAAGTTTAGACACGTGAAACTTGCAGCTCCCACTACATCGCTATGACCAAGAAGGGTAAAAGAATAGCAAAGAAACAGCACTAACAAAGTTTAGACACATAAATTTTGAAGGTCTAGCTACCATATTATTACCCACAAGGGTAAAGGAACAGCACCACTGCTGGATAATTGGAAAGTCTTTGTGTGTCAACCTCTGTGCTCCGTGGCAAGGTAGACTAGCAAACATGCCCAACCTTTACTCACATTCGAGAAAACACTCCCAACAAGATTGCTGGCTCCAAAATCGAAGAGGCACCGTCCTTCGAATCTTGAGAGCCAGACTCCCAACATGATTACTTTCTCAAAAATTGAAGAGACACCGCTCTCTGAATCTCGAGAGCCAGACTCCCAGTATGATTGCTCTCTCAAAAATCGAAGAGGCACCGTTCTCCGAATCTCGAGAGCCAGATCCTCGACAGGATTGCTTGTTCGAAAATCGAAAAGGCACCGCTTTCTCAACTTCGAGAGCCAGATCTCCTTGGATAAAGCTTATTTGTAATCTTCACACGCAACATCAGCTTTCCAGATACCACAGACCACTTTTTCAAAGTGCTCTGACACACGTGAAGCTGGCAGCTCCCACTACCGTGCTATGACCAAGCAGGGTAAATGAATAATATTACTACTTGTTGTTAGGGAAACTCCTATATATGTCGACCTCCATCCTCAATGGACAGGCAGACCTGCAAAAATGCTCAACCCTTCCTCATATCTGAGAGGGCACTCCCAACGAAGCCTCTCGAAATACTCAGCTTTCTTTCCCCCCGATAATACCTCTGTAAACAAGTTACACCAGAGCAAGAATATCTCATATCATCAAGGTTAAAAGCAAGAGTATCCCATATCATGCTTTTTCCCTGTCTTTTCTTTTGGCCTTGTTCTTACCTGCAAAACAAGGAGAAAGAGAGCAATCAGTCAGCACTTGGAATCAAGCTTCCAGTCAGGAACTGACTGCCTGGAATCCCTTACCTGATTACTTACCTGGCATTGCTCTCGAGTACTCATCTTCAACATATTATGCTTCTAGTGAAGATACCACATCTGTCTGAGGAACAAATAGGGAAAGTGAGAAGGATACAAGGAAGTATATGGAGACAAGCGTAATAGAACATGTGCTGATACATCCACTACTTTGTCAACAACAAAAGTATCCTATATCAGCAGGGTCGAATGTACTCTAGATTTAATGGACTTGTTTTGACCTTCAAATTCTTCAGTCAGCCTTATACTCTGGAGAAAATCAGAAAATCCTCCAGCCAGTTCAAGAATAAGCATGTGGAAAGTTACTTCTTTAAAAGCAAAAGTATCTCATATCATATATTCTCTTTTTCTTCTCTTTATCCTTCATGCTGCCTGCAAGATAGGGAGAATGAAAACAATCAACCGGAACTCGAAATCAAACTTCTGATCTGGGACTGATTGCTTGGAGCTCTGATTGCTTACCTTGTCTGTCACATTTTTCAGCAGATCCCCTAGCTCGGCGACTTGGGGGATTCCTACTACATGGTTTGTATCGCGCTTGACCAAGCCTGAAACTACAAGTAAGCTTCAAGTGAAATTGATACATTACCTTGTGCATCTCCACTAGTTAAAGATACCACCCCTGGATGGAAGAAGAGTACTTTCAGAGAAGATACCACATCTACCTATGAGACAGATAAGGCAAGTGAAGACGAGAGCTTGAACCTATGTCACTTGTACTAAATTATTCACTTGAACTCACTAAAAGAGAGCTTGAACCTATGTACTTGTGTAAACCCTTCACAATTAATGAGAACTCCTATACTTCGTGGACGTAGCCAATCTGGGTGAACCACGTACATCTTGTGTTTGCTTTCCTGTCTCTATCCATTTACATACTTATCCACACTAATGACCAGAGAAATCTAGCGAAGATCACAAACTTAATACTTTCGGTTCTACCAAAGTCCTCACTGATTGTGTGCATCAACAATCCTTAAGTCCTTACCTTTTTGCGTTGGTAATGGATGAGTTAACAGGACATATTCAAGATGATATTCCTTGGTGTATGCTTTTCGTAAACGATATAGTGTTGATAGATGAAACTCAAAAGGGGTAAATGCGAAGCTTAACCTTTGGAGAGAAGTGTTGGAATCTAAAGGTCTTCGCCTAAGCCGATCAAAGACAAAATATATGGAGTGCAAGTTCAGTGCAAATGGAGGCCAAAATGAGCTAGGGGTGAGGATCGAAGATCAGGAAATACCAAAGAGCGACTGTTTTCGCTACCTAGGATCTATCTTGCAAAAGAACGGAGAATTAGATAGAGATCTCAACCATAGAATACAAGTTGGATGGATGAAGTGGAATAGTGCATCCGGTGTGTTGTGTGACCGTTGTAGGCCACTAAAGTTCAAGGAAAAATTTTATAGGACGGCAATAAGGCCGGCGATGCTGTATGGCACAGAACGTTGGGCGGTGAAGCATCAACACGTACACAAAATGGGTTTGGACATGTGCAAAAAAGGCCTACTGACGCTCCGGTTCGAAGATGTGACTACGGGATAGAGGTTCAGGGCCGAAGGGGTAGAGGAAGACCTAGGAAAACTTTGGAAGAGACCCTAAGAAAAGACTTAGAGTACTTGGATCTAACGGAGGACATGACACAAAACCGAGCATAATGGCGTTTTAGGATTCATATAGTCGACCCCACTTAGTGGGAAAAGGCTTTGTTGTTGTTGTTTATATAGGGGCTACAGAAGCAAGCACCCTCTGCAAATTATCTATATACTAAAACTCAGCGGAAGTTAAATGTTCATTAACAGTGTGCGTACTGTTTTGCCCCTCGGTTGCTGAGCAATTTTTTTCGGTCTTCTGGATTGTGCAGTGATTTGGCAATTCTGCCTCTCTTATATCTGCTACTGCGTGTTGGTGCCGCGCAGTGATCATCAGGGTGATTTGGTCTGTGGTGTGCACGTGTTGGCCATCGTGGTTTGTCCTTCCCGGCCTCACGTCTCTCATCAGCTTGGGATTTGCCTGCTTTGTACAGTGAAAGACATAATGTAAGAACAACTCCACCTTGGAGCCTTCCTTTCTGGCAATCCACTATTCAATCCACCTAATGAACAGTAACAACCCTTAATAAACAGTAATTGCCATTTGCATCTCTACCTTTGGAACCCCCCTGACAATTGGTAATAAAATATTAATATTTTTTTTCTCACCCAATTCATAAAATATTATTATTTTATTTATATATATATATATATCTCTCTCTCTCGTCCATTCACCGTGGCTCCTCTTCTTCTTCACCTTCTTCACCCTCGCATTCACCCTCACCTCATCAGCACCACCATCCCCCAAACCCTCCCCGCCTCCTCCCTCACCCCCACCTCCGTACTCCCCATCCTGCCTGTCATCCTGGACGCACCTCCGTACTCCTCATCCCTCACGCCCTCACCCGCCTCCTCCCTCACCCCCACCTTCGTACTCCCCATCCTGCCCGCCGTCCTGTAATGCACCTCCGTACTCCCCATCCCACCCGCCTCACGCCTCACCAGCCTCACCGCCCTCACCCACCTTACCACTGTCTTGGACGCACTTGCAGAACCTGACAGAAAAAAATATTTAAAAAGGCGTCTGACGTCAGATCCACCTCAGGTGCTCAGGCTGACACGAATCCACCGGCCTGGCGCTTAGGCCTGCTCGGGCTCCCTCGCCAGCCAACGCTGGACTTCCTCCCACTGGCTCTCGGGCCCTTTCCTGGAGCCTGTCCCCCGAGCAACCACCAACAGTGGACTTGCTCTAATGGGTTGTTTTGTCATCCCAACTCTTTCCCCTTTCCCTTATCTTGCTTTTTTTCCACAGTAAAAGCAGGCTTTCTCTCCAGCTGTCGATCATCCCGTTTCTCCTTCCTTTCCCTCATGTTGCTTTTTTTGCACAGTAAAACCATGTTTCCTGTCGATCATCGATGCATTTTGTTTCCATATTTCCTTTGCTTTTCACTTCACTCTCTTGCATGTCTCCTTCACCCGTTTCAGACCTCACTTTCTTTCCCTCTTAAACATTTGTTTCAGTTGGTCGCGAATTTCTCTTTTGTCGCTCTCAAATCTCGCTTTTTGTCGTTCTCAGCTCTTGGTTTGCTCAGAAAGCACCGAATCAGGTTTGTTCAACTTTTCAGTTTTCTTGCTTCAAAACTGCGGGTTTGATTTTGTTAGATTTAAAAATATCAAAAGTTAAATCTTTCTTTGTGTGAAATTTTTAACCCAGATCGTGTTATGGGTTTTGATGAGTGATTAAATTGGATTTACAGGTTTTCATTTAGTGAGACAGACAGGGAGTGTACAGAGAGAGAAAAAAGGCATACAAATGGAAGACAAGAATGGGGTGGTTGTTTTATGTTAAATTTTTTTGAAATTGATTTGGGGTTTTGTTTGGGTTTTTGGGATTATGCACCGTTGAACCGAATAATTTGGCTAAACATTGAACAGGAGGCAACCAAGTTGATTTGTTGTTCTATTTAAAGTTGAAGAGTCCTGCTTAGTTTTAGTAACTAAGAGTGTATTTTTTGTACGAAGCTGTTCTCTGTTTTTGCAATTTTGTTCATTGGCCTTTTTGAGATTTATGATTTGGTTTTTTTGCTTAATTGGTTTGTTTTGTAGGTTTCGTTTATACAGACACGAGGACAACTTGGCCACTGCATCATTTCTCGGCACTTGAGAGTAAAATTTAGCTGGTGAGGTAGTGGATTGCGAAGCTGTAATGAGATCTTAGCTTTATTTTTAATCAACTAATTTTGTTCTCAAAAAAAAAAAAAAATTTAATGAACGACTTTTGAAGCATCTTTATCTGTTTAGTTTGCTATCTTATGTTTGGATTGGATTTTAGGCACTGGAAATTATGAGCTAAATTTTGTTTCAAATGGCAGGGATAATTTATATCATCTTTATTGCATATTACTGAACTTTGCATTTCTTCCTTATATGATGTGCGTTACAGCCTTGATCAATGCCTAAGATTGTGTTGGATTAGACCATTCAGAAATATATAGCTCTGCATTCTATATTACTTGACGAAATGGTGAGAGGGCATTATTTCAATATTTTAATTACAACTGTTTGCAAAGATAATTAACAACTCTTCGAAAATATACAGTTTTCATTCTATATTACTTGATGAAATGCTGAGAAACCATTATTTCAGTAATTTAATCACAACTGCTTACAAAGATAATTAACAGCAAATATATTATTTTTGTTTCTGACTTTTTTTTACATGTTAAATAATAAACTTTAATTTTGTTCCTGTGAATTAGAGTGTGTTGTAACTGCATACCTATTTATTTATCTTATACAAAATATAATCCAAATTTTGATTTTGTTTGTCAATTGCATTTGTAACGTTTTTTTTTTTTCTCTTTTTCACCCTCATCAATTGCAAAGCAACATGCGGTTGAAGCTTGCACAACGGAGATGGACTATGAAATCATTGCTTCGAAAATAGAAGCCGGAAGCTGCTATGAAATTATGGGTTTCTGTACGAATAGAATGAGGGGTCAATACAGTGTTGTGCCACATGATACCCAAGTTATGTTCACTGGGAAACAATTTTCAAAAAATTGCCGTGTGTTTCCGCCTATCCCTCGACACTGGTTCTTTTTTGCAAGATTATAACACCCTTTAACCTCGCCTCAACAGGGTTGATATCCTTACAGGTAACAATATATGTATATGTGTGTGTGCGCGCGCGCGCGCGCATTAAAAAACTTGTGTCTTTATTTTGGAAAATGAATTTTAACACTTCCACCATATTTGTTTGTTAAAATGCAAGATGTCATTGGTCACGTAACTGGTGTGCAAGAGTTGGTGCCAAAGCAAATTAATCAGAGAATTACACATAAGTGTGATATAGCTATTGAAAACATCAGGTTGTTTCTCCCCTGTGCTTTCTGTGATTCTAAATTATTTCATGTATTTATTATATACACATTACAAAAAATTTAAATGTTATCTCACAAATCAATATTGTTAAACTATTATATGATACTTATCATGTTGACTGCTTACTTTATTCATAACAAATTAAACAAATTTCTTCCTGGCTTTTGAATATCCATTTCAAATTTTCTTTTTCAATAGAAAAGAAGAGATGAAGATTACATTATGGGAAGATGGCTTTTTCTTCTTTGTCAATGAAGACGTTATCTGCATCAACAATTGTTGTTTTCACAAGTCTAAAAGTGAAGCTATACCTTGGTACCTAACTCAATAAAAAATTAACCTGTTTGGTATCTTTATTGTTCTGTTTCCTTCTATAAATTATGTTAATCAGCTCTTAACACAAAAATTCGAAATATTTGCTGCCTCTAATGAGTTTTTCACATAATTTATTATCAATGATAAAATGAGTGTTTCTGTTTTCTATTTACAAATCTATATTTGGAAACACAATTGTTTGTATGTTTATTATTTTTTTAGCTGCTTTTGAATAGAAGTATTGTTCTAATTTGAAATCGCATGCTTCCTTTCTTTTTAAGACATTGCCTTGCAACTGTTTGAATGTAGTGCTGCTCAATAACTGTGTTTCATTATTTTCATAATTTGGTTTCCTTTTTGTAATATTGCTTATTCAAATTGGAATTTTTGTGAACAAACAAATCTTTGCACAACATGTTAAGATTATTTAGGCAAACATGGAATCCTATGAATCACGTTTGGATGTTATTTTTTAAGCTTACATCCAATTATTTGAATTGTTTATTAATATTTTGTTTATGTTATTTCCGTTATTTTTTTATCCACATACAAGATTGTGTTGAGCAGCACTGTATCAATGCTTTTCTTTTTTGATCCAGACATCCCGGAACTAAATGGGTACAAATTAGTGTGAGTGCATTGACAATTATTAAAAAAAGTAAAGATATTTTTATTATTTTTACAATAAAACAAATTTTTTTTAAAGCTATTCAAATAATATTGTGTTTTAAATCCTGCAGGTTTTCTAACAACACAGAAGCTGTAAAAATATTGGCATCGTCTTCGAAACAAGTGAATGAAGCTCAAATTTTGCAGATTGCCAGGAGAGTAACAGTTGATGAATTAGCTTTTTTGGATCCAGAGTTATATAAGGTAGGAAGCTTTATTAGAACTTTTTATGTTTGGGTCAAAATCCACAACTACAACTTCTTATCTTTACTTTGTCTTCAACGATGGTGTCATCCTCTACGTCGACACCAGAAACAACTGCGCAATCATATAAACAAAGAAGCAGTGAGGAGGCCTCTTTTTACTGGCACTGAACAAAGGCCTGTTTCTTAACTCTTATCCTATGTCAAGCTTTTAAACTATGATTTATTTCTTCTTTCTCATATCTGTCACATTTTAAAACAGTGTTGTAGAAGAGATGTTTGAACCAAGCAGAGAAGATGTCGATCAAATTCCGGTCAAATTGTTGAAAAAAAAATCATCTCCAACTGGTGCGAAGACGGATTCCAGCCCTGCAAAAAAACAATAGGTCACAATACTTTATCATCGCTTTCCCTTCTCACTTAAATTTATTAAAAGATAAATTTAACACTCATCTAAATGTCACGACTTTTTTTCCTTTTGCTTAGGTTGCTTTGTTGGCATTGAAGAATGCTGCATCAAAACTTTAGCTGTTTGGGATAAAAAAAGTTCTTGCCTTTTTAATGCGTATCAAACAATGTCTCTAATATTTTTTGGGATGTAATTAGTTCTTTCTGGTCTAAATTCTATCGTATTTTTTGCATGTACATACTCCAGCATTTGGTTATATATTGTGTCCAGATGCTGGTCCTAATCAAAGGCTAGATAGAACTGCTAGAATAGAGTCGATAACTGTCAACATTTTTTGCTTGTACACCAGCATTCGTAATCTTTTTTGTTCAAGTGCTGGTCCCAAAGGAACACTATGTAGCTGCTGGAATGGAATGGATGACTACTGAATTTAACAAGTGCACAAACAAGAATGCCCCAATCTTTTCTATGTAGAATACATAAATTAAAACTTTTGCTTACTAAAATTTTGAAACCTTTGTGGCATAAAGAATACAATACTTCATACAATTTTCTAACCTGCGGCAACAAACGGGTACCACTACTAGCTAAACTTTTAAACTTCTCAAGTATCTTGAAAGGTGCCAAAAGTCATCAGCCAACTACAGTTGATGCATACCCTCTACATTTACAAAAACAGCGTCCCGTTAATTTATTGATCTTCCCAGGACACATACCAATTTGCGAGAGTGGTTTGAGTGATGCTAATTAGTCGAGTAGAGTCTTTTAAATTAAGCAGAAGCAAAACACTTAGTTGAGGCAATACAAATATGATTTTTACCTTCAATTAAAATGCTTCAAAATCAGAACTGGACGTGTAGTTTGCTGAAGTAACAATTTCAAGTTACTGACTCCAATTTATACCAGTCTGACTCTCCATTTCAAGTTGCGGACTCCAATTTATACCAGTCTGACTCTCCATTTCAAGTTGCTGACTCCAATTTATACCAGTCTGACTCTCCACCGTTCTCCTTCCAACACAAAATGCTGGCTTTGTTGGTGATGCTAATGGTAAGCTTTCATTAATCAACATAGATATGACATCTGACATGGTAGGCCGATCTGCTGCATTTTCTTCTACGCAAAGCAGACCGACATGGATGTATCTTAACAGTTGCTCTTCAATAAACGAATTTCCTAATGTTGGATCCATTAATTCTAGCCCTGCACCTTCTTTCCACAACTCCCATGCCTGAAGAACAAGGATTGCATTTCATTCTAAAGAAGAAAAATATGATTATAAATTTTAAGAGAGAGATTTTGTTTGTCATACATATCCTACTAAATTGAGTGCGCGATCATCATTGTAAAAGCTGTTGATTTTCCTTCCACTTATGATTTCAAGCATCAATACCCCGAAACTGTAGACATCAGACTTTACAGAAATAATTCCCTCAAGTATGTTCTCTGGAGCCATGTAACTCCTGTACCAAATGAAAAAGAAAAAATAGTCAGTATACTTATCTGCAAAAATGCGTGTTCAAAAGGGGAAGACCATGTCAATGTGAGGCAGAAATACTTGCATTGTCCCGGCAATCCTGGTAGTCAAGGTAGTGGTTGGTTCCAATTCATATTGGGTGAACATCCTTGCCATACCAAAATCTGAAATTTTTGGGTTCACGACAATCCTGCTAGTGTTTGCTTCCAATTCATTTTGGGTGAAAATCCTTGCCAAACCAAAATCTGAAATTTTTGGGTTCATGTTTTCATCAAGTAGTATGTTACTAGGTTTTAAATCTCTATGAATTACTTTCTTTCTTGAGTATTTGTGCAGGTAAAGCAACCCTTGAGCAATTCCTTCGATAATGCTAAAACGCTTCTTCCAATCTAGTAGTCGACCTCTGGTTGGATCTGTCCAATATGTAGAGTTAAGTAGGACTAATATTAATTAATAGTAGTAATCTACGAACTTTGACAGTAAAATAAAGGTCAGATAGCAAATTTAACAAATGAAATCAAGTATCTTGGTTCCTCACCAAATAAAAAGTGCTCCAAACTTTTGTTCTGCATATACTCATATATCAACATCTTCTCTTCGCCATGAATGCAAAATCCGAAAAGATGAACCAGGTTTGTATGTTGGAGTTCATTAAGTATCAGTTCATTCTTGAATTCTGATAATCCTTGCCCTGAACGTTTCGAAAGCCTCTTCACAGCTATTTCTTGTCCCATCGCCAATTTCCCCTGAATTGATAATCCATATCATGTTTTTGCTGTCATCTTTAGGCAGAGGAAGCTAATTCCTTTTTTTTTTTTTTTTTTTTTTCTCTTCTACAGCTTTTGAATTAGAAGCAGAAATTTTTGTTTTTTTCAAAATGTTACCTTATAAACCGGCCCAAACCCTCCTTCTCCTATCTTGTTTTCTTCAGCAAAGTTGCTTGTGGCAGCCAAGATGGATGAATAGCTAAAAACGCTTGAATCATGATGTCCTATCTTTCCATCATTTCGGAGACCATTAACATTATCAGTAGGTCGATTAGATTTCTTGAAGAAAAGCATTCTACGCCACTTCACAGCTTTTTTTTGTCCCATCGCCAATTTCCCCTGAATTGATAATCCATATCATGTTTTTGCTGTCATCTTTAGGCAGATGAAGCTAATTCCTTTTTCTATTTTTTTTTTCTTCTACAGCTTTTGAATTAGAAGCAGAAATTTTTGTTTTTTCAAAATGTTACCTTATAAACCGGCCCAAACCCTCCTTCTCCTAGCTTGTTTTCAGCAAAGTTGCTTGCGGCAGCAGCAAAGATGGATGAATAGCCAAAAACGCTTGAATCATGATGTCCTATCTTTCCATCATTTCGGAGACCATTAACATCATCAGTAGGTCGATTAGATTTCGTGAAGATAAGCATTTCGTTCTCAATCTCTGTCCGGTTCTCACCTATACAGATCAATTATAAGAAATTAAGGCTCTGTTTTGTATCCTATTTGAAATTATTTATCATATCTCAAAATATTTCTTAAGGACATTTCTTCAAAACAATTTTCTTTAAAATTCAAAAACTTAATTGGTTTGCAATTTAAAAATTACCATTAACATCATCAGTAGGTTGATTAGATTTCATGAAGATAAGCTTTGCGTTCTCAATCTCTGTCCGGTTCTCACCTATACAGATCAATTATAAGAAATTAAGGATCTGTTTGATATCCTATTTGAAATTTTTTATCATTTCTCAAAACATTTCTTCAAAACAACTTTCTTTAAAATTCAAAAACTTAATTGGTCTGTGATTTAAAAATTACCATTAACATCATCAGTAGATCGATTAGATTTCATGAAGATAAGATTTTCGTTCTCAATCTCTGTCCGGTTCTCACCTATATAGATTAATTATAAGAAATTAAAGATCTGTTTGGTATTCTATTCAAAACAATTTTCTTTAAGATTCAAAAACTTAATTGGTTTGCGATTTAAAATTTTTAAATCTTACGATTTAAACTAGACAAAGAGATCGGGGGGTCGCAGGTGAGGGAGAAAGAGGAGACAGGAGAAAAGAAAGTAAAAGATGATTGAAGGAAAGAGAAAGAAAAGAGATGATTGGACGAGATGAAGAGGAAGAGGAGTAAGAGAATGAAGAGAGTGATTGGAGGAGAGACGAAAAAAGTAAAAAAAAAGAGAGAAAGAGAGAGAGATTTGGAGAGAGAGGGGAGGAGGGAGAGAAAAGAAAGGAGTGTGATTGAATTTTGAGTATCCAATCCCTTTGGCATTGTACTATTGGTTCTCTTCAAACGTTGTCCCAATGCCTCCAGAAATTTCACCAAATCATCAAGTTTGTTGGCGTATTTAACCATTTTGCGGTCGGTCCACTCAACGACATTGGAGCACTTGCGAATGAGCTCTGTACCCTCCTCCACTTTTATCCTAAACCACTTTACTTCGTGAACCCCCATATCCAATTTACGGTTTTCGTCAGCGTCACCCAGTTCCTCTACCACTCGTCTTAGAGCTTCTTCAATCCTGCTGATATTATTATGAGGGTTAGGCTTTGACAACGCTTCATCAACAGCATGGCGCATTGTTAGTAACGATGATCGCAGAGCTTCCTCTTCCACCAAAGATGCCACTGCCGTAATCATACAAACAAATTAATACCAACAATACATCAGAAAAAATTACACTGCTTTCTTGTATTTTGTTTCCTTGTCCAACTTCTAAGCCAGGTTTTTGTTTCTGAAAACCAGGTTTTTGTTTGAAGAAAAAATTATACTTATAACTATATTACCTCTAAACAAACTATACATGCAAGACAAATAGAAAATTTCATTTTAATCTTTGAAAAAAAAAATGACTTGATGCAAATGGATTACCTTTTTCACTGATTGGTACAAAACCACTAGGACCATTAATCCGTTCAAATAGGTCGAGCACCGTCCTTGTCATATTCAAGGTCTCCTCCCCATAACGGACAATCCCGGTTTTGCAATCATCGAGTTGAATCGAGATCTTGTTGACGTCGGTTTTGCAATCATTGACTTGAACCAAGACCTCCTTGACATCCCGTACTCCCTGCACCTGGAGTATCCTTAGCAGCCTTTTAAGAGACTTATCCATTCCATCAAGCTCCATGTTGTACAAAGGCCTCATGCAGTAGTTCCACACACTCTTCTTCGATAACTCTTGAACACGCTTTACGCCTGCCTCAATTTCTTTTTTAAGATCTTTTAGTTCCTCATCCTGGAGAAGCAACCTTTTGTTCTTCCCTTCTATCTCTCGTATCAATGGCTGCAAAGCCTCTAGCGTGGACTTGATGTTCGCGTGGGAGGTCGTAAACTCGGCAGCATTCCGTAACACCTCCGTAATGCCATCAAATATCGATCCAAACGCTGCTCCTGCTACTCCCCCGACTGCAATTTCCACTGCATTGAGTCCATCGACCATGATTGGTTGATATATGTATCTGCTGCTTTTTTTTTTTTTTTTTTTTTTTTTTTTTGTGGGTATACGATGTGTTGATTGCCTCTATGCAGGTTCATTTTATCATGAGTCTATTTATATATGATTGAATACAATTAACCAAGGCAAGGTCGGTCGTGGACATTTACTGGGTGGCCTCTCAGAAGGTCGCTCGAACTTTCCAGTAGACTTCCAATCAGGTTACGCCTTTTTCGGCCACTAAGTTTGACTACTGTACGCGTTTACTCGTGTAGGTTGAAATTTTATCTTATCCAATTAAATTCTAAAAATGTTTCTTTATTATTTAGTTTCATCATTATTTATACTATTTTTTTTAATAAAAATAAAATTTATATATATTGTCGAACTCTACCTATATTAAAGAGTTATACAAATAGATATTAAATGTAACGCTACTAATTAATTTCAAACGAAAATTTTGCAAGGCCCACTCTATTTTGTGAGTAATGCTTAGTTCCTATGTAACATTATTTTACCGTAGGAACGTCATATTTGATTTGTTTAGTCTCCTTATAATTATTTAAAGATTTTTTTTTAGAAAATTTTATTTAATCAGAAACAGTTTAACTATCCATATATTTGAAACAATTGATATTATGGTAGCCATAAACTTGCTTGACTCATATAGATGATTAAAATTCTCCAAATTCTTTTTTTTTTTCTTTCTATAGGTGATTTTTAGATGATGATAATAAAAATAAACGGTTCAAATTATGAAAGTTGTACCACTTTTGGATGCAGGCATCTATTTATATGTGATTCAATACGATTTACCAAGGTAGGGTTGCTGGACAATTACTAGGTGAGCTCTCAGAAGGTCGCTCAAACTTTCCAGCTAGTTGAGCTCTCAGTCTCTCAGAAGGTCGCTCGAATTTTTTTCGGCCACTAAGTTTGACTACTATACCCGTTTAGGCGTGTAGGTTGAAATTTTATCTTCTTATCCAATTAAATTCCAAAATTGTGACTTTTATTACTTAGTTTTTATTACAGTCATATTGAATTAGAAATGTTATTGTGTAAATTCTAATATATCTGAAAATATCTTTAAATATTTTTTAGTAGTTAAATTCTTATTAGAGTTGTAATCCTATTAGAGTAAGAAAATAACTTTTCCTAATACTATAAATGCACAATAGGATGGAATAGAACGTAGCTCACAATTTCAGATCTCTCTATTTCTCTCTACTGTGCCGCACCAGTCTCTCTCTGTCCTTACTATAGTTCAGTAAATTAGGCCTACAAATTTTTTTCAACACGTTCTTAATGCTGTGCTAAGAGAGTTTGAACTTCAATCAGATGAGTATTACGTTTTAATCATTCTTGCTATGTCGTCATGTAGAAAGTTAAACAATGTCAGCGGGGTTGAAACCAGGAATTTGTATTAATGGTGACATACTCAACCAACAAGGTACAATTCAAATGCTTAATAATTTACTGAACAAAACACTTATATATTCATTTATAAATATAGGTGTTGAGACAAGGAGGCTCACCATGACTCATGAGGTGAATGTAAGACTTTAGACTTGGAAATTCCTTACACGACCGTTAACACGACACGTACAAACAACGAAAATAAATAGTTTCAGGTCAATACGATAACTAATTGAATCGTTATTGGGTCACACGATAACAGCCCAATAATAATAGATCCTTAATGGTTTTTCAGGAGAGTGATACGCGGGCAATCCATTTCGACACGTCAATAAAAAAGTTATCATGATAATTTTAATTTTTTAAACTACAGGAAAGCCAGCTATAGTCCCCTTCCTAATAAGATTTGGTTACCAAATTAGCATACTAGTTAGTGTTCAATTGTGACTCAACTAACGCACACAAATCCTAGGAGAGGTATACTTATTGCACACCGCACATTGCAGCAATTTCACAGCCTTTTTATTACTGCCTACTTCCTTGGATTTGAACCTTTTGAGAGTGTCCTAAATGGATCCCGTTGATCGGTCTCCGAGCTTGTTGGCATTGAAGGAATTGATTCTGTTAAAGCCGTGGAAGACGCCGCCATCGCCTCTGTTGTCACATTGTCAATATGGAAAGTATATGAAGGTGAAAGATGGGTCAAGAGTGTATCGGGCGCCGAAGACAACGTTGCATAACGAAGAGAACGATGATATTATAAACGTTGAAATTCCATATGAAGAATTGTTTGAGTTCGTTGACAAGTTTGTCTTCAAGAAAGTTAGGGTTTTGATTGAGCGAGTACTTGGAGAGATATTAAGCTTACCAAAGTATGATGCGTACCATAGTTAACGACGCTTATGAATGTGTGTTTTGTTTGTTTGTTTAGGTTTGTGCAAAGTTTTCTAAGCTCTCATTAGATGTAAATTATGACGTGATAATTGTCTGACTTTAGTTTTTCAATTTTGTTTTGCCTCTTAATTAGAGGTTTCTGGAAGAGAAAACTTGTTTCTTGTCCATGTTTGAGACTCGTTCGTTTTTGTGTTTTAATGTGTAACCAAACGACGTCGCGTATGGTCTAACATTCGATCGTTAGTCTCTCCTCACTCTTTTTTCACTCTAAAACCGCTCCAATTAGGAATTAGTTCTCGGTTATTCCACTCATCCACCAAAACAATTTAAATCCTAGTCCATGACTGCTTTCTAAAATGCATATTACATTAAACTACTTTACTCGATAGGAATAAGGATTCGAACTCAAGTATGAAGAACCGGGACATTACGTTAACCAATCGGTCACACTTACACAAATCTTTTTTTTTTTTTTTGGCTTACCGGCAGTTGAATCCTTATCAAATTGTTATTATAATTCTTAACGTTCCCTAGTTATTTTACAACCTTTACTCAAAGGAAATTAGGAAAGCCAGCTATAGTCCCCTTCCTAATAAGATTTGGTTACCAAATTAGCATACTAGTTAGTGTTCAATTGTGACTCAACTAACGCACACAAATCCTAGGAGAGGTATACTTAGGCCCTGTTTGGCAGCCCGTATAAAGCATCAGATAGGATAAATAATACGGACCCGAGTGTTTGGCGTTGTTCCGTACTAAATAGCAACCGGATTAATTATACCGGCCCCACATGATTTATACGGTACACACCTGTTAATTTATCCTCCCTAAAACGTAAGGATTATTAGTCGGGTGGGAAACAACGATCGCTCTCTCCCTCTCTCCCTCTCTGTCCCTTACTCGTCGCGTTCCTTTCTCTCTCTCTCGCATCGTTCAGCCACCGTCGTTCGTCGTTCGTCGTTCGTCGTTCAGCCGTCGTCCAGCCGTCGCCGTCCAGCCGCCGTCGTTCTGCTTCTACTTTGCTCTGCTCAGTTCCTTTCTCTCTCTCTCGCATCGTTCAGCCGCCGTCGTTCTTCTTCTACTTTGCTCTGCTCCGCCCTAAATTATTGGGGGAAGTTATATATCCCTTCAAATTAAGTTTTAGAACTCCATAATTTCTATAAAATTCTATGAAATTACTGAGGGTTGGAAATCCAATTAATAGATTTGGTTAACAGGATTTGAAACCCAACGACCTGCAACCGCCTATTCGCCGGAATCTGGAGAAGATCTCATCGATTCCCGGAAAACTTCAAGAGCCAAAAGCTCTGTCAATCCTCGCCGACGTGGCTGGACCTTCGTCTCCGTTTGAAGCCGCACCTTCACAGTGCCTCGATTTGTCGTAAAACACACCCTTAACGGATCCATGTTGTCTGCAGAAAATCAACCAAAAAGGGTTTTATGCCAAACATGAACGACAAATTAAAGGCACTGCCCTTTGTTGATTATTCTATCATTATTTTTCTTTTTTTATCATATCCGGTATAAAACCAATCACCGTATAAATAATACGGTCATTAGTCCGATACTGCACCAAACGTCCGACTAATTTAGTCAGTACTATCCGGTGACTATTTATCCTATCCGACAGAAATAGTCAGTACAGTCCGAGCTGCCAAACGAGGCCTTATTGCACACCATAAATTGCAGCAATTTTATAGCCTTTTTATTACTGCCTACTGTTGCGAGTTATATATTAGTTAAAGTGCAAATAGTAGTTTATTGTCCCACATTGTGAAGTACATGTGTAATATCAATTGTAATTCCTATATATACTCCACTTTGGAGATTAATAAATATATAAGAAATTCCCAAATATTGTCATATATATTTTTTATATTTACCATATTTAGTTTAATATGGCATCAGAGCAGTTCGCTCTTGGTGACATGTGTGCTTTAATTTTGTGTCATATATATTTTTTGATATTTACCATATTTAGTTTAATATGGCATCAGAGCAGTTTTCTTTGCCACAGTGCATGAACAGTGCTCTGCTTTGTGAACAGTGATCCTTTACAGTGTCGTGAACAATGATTACTACAGTGTTCTAATAAATTGTTTTCGTTCCGCTGCGTATCTGTTGTGCCTTTATTGTTCGTGATTTAGTTCAGTGGCTCATTATAATCATAGTGTTTTTATGCATCTTGGTGGAACAAATAAGTGGATAATTGATACTGGTTCCTTCTTTGTTTCACACTTGTAGTGATTCAGAGTCAAGTGTGAAACATGTGTCATGGCTAAGAGTCATCGAGCTTCATTTCCTGTAAGTGATTCTAAAGCTACTTTGCCATTTGATTTGATACATTCTGATGTGTAGGGTCCGGCCAAAGTTACTTCTAATGGATTATGTTGGTTTGTTACTTTTATTGATGATTGAACTCAATTAACTTGGGTGTTCTTGATGAATAATAAGAGTGATGTTCCGTTACTTCTTCAAGAATTTTGTACAATGGTGTCTATTCAATTTCAGACCAAAGTTAAGATCTTTAGGTTTGATAACGGAGGAGAATATGTGAATCACACTTTGGCATGTTTTTTTCGTGATCATAATATTATTCACTAGACGACTACTCTGTTTACACCCCAACAAAATGGTGTGTCCGAACGGAAGAATCGTCAAATAATGGAGGTTGCTTGCTCCTTGATGTTGGTAAATGTGTTCCTAATCATTTGTGGGGTTATGTTGTTTTGGCTTCTGTGTATTTGATAAATCGTGTTCCAAGTAGGGTTCTTGATTTTCAAACACTGCTTGACGTGTTACAAAAACATGTTTATCTTGTTTCTGTATCAAAACTTCCTCAGAAAGTGTTTGGGTGTATTGCGTATGTGCATGTCTACTCTCATCAGCGGGGTAAACTTGATGCATGTGCTTTTCGATGTGTCTTTATTGGGTATGCTAACAATCATAAAGGCTATAAATGTTATCATCCTCCGACTCAAAAAACTTATATTACCATGGATGTCACCTTCCACGAGGAAGTTTCATATTTTATAAAGCCCTCTTCCGACTCTTCACTTCAGGGGGGATGGGGAGTGAAGTGCAGATTCGAATAGATGGTATGGATGATGTGTTATAGGCTGAGTTGGGAACAAAACCTATTATGTTGCGTGATACTAATCAGTCAGCTACAGACAGTGATCGGTCACCTGTCATTCCCGGAATTATTTCTACTGACGATAGATCAGATGTGCCCAGCGAGTTGCTTCTTAGTATGTCTGACGAATTACCTTCTGATGATCGGTTGCCTGCTGCTGGTATGTCTAACGAGTTGCCTGATGATGGTTCGTCCAGTGATGATTCTTTTAACAGTTTGGTACAAGATGGTGGTATACATGAGGTAAATTCTGACGATTCTTCTACTTATGAGTTGCCTCCACGAGCTAATCGTGGAAAACCTAAAGTACAATATGAGCCTGATATGCATGCTAAAGCTAAATATCCTATCAACAATTATGTGTCTACTCATCGTTTGTCCAAACCATATGTATCTTACATATGTCAGCTATCTAGTGTATCAATTCAACAAAATTGCAAGATGCTTTGTCTGATCTTAAATGGGTTAATGCCATGAAAGTTGAGATGGAAGCTTTGGAAAAGAATTCTACTTGGGATTTGGTTCATTTACCAAACGGGAAGAAAATTGTTAGATGTAGATGAGTGTTCATTATTAAGCACAAAACAGATGGTTCTATTAACTGGTATAAAGCCAGATTAGTTGCTAAGGGTTATACTAAAACCTATGAGATGGACTATTAGGAGACTTTTGCTCATATTGCCAAACTTAATAATGTGCGTGTTCTTCTGTCATTAGCAGCAAACCAGGATTGGCCTCTGTTGCAGTTTGATGTTAAGAATGATTTCCTTCATGGTGATCTTAAGGAGGAAGTTTATATGGATCTCCTACCTGGTATCGGAACATTTCTTGTAAAAGGTGTTGTATGCAAGTTACGAAAGGCTTTGAATGGTTTGAAACAATCTTCTAGAGCATGGTTTGGGAGGTTTACAAGTTCAATGAAGAGGTTTGGGCATATCCAGAGTCATTTAGATCATACTTTATTTCTAAAGCGACAAAATGGTACGCTAACTGCATTGATTATTTATGTTGATAACATGATAGTGACCGGTGATGATCAAAAGGAGATACAATGGCTTCAAAAGTACCTAGCTACTGAATTTAAGATGAAATAATTGGGTGAATTGAAGTATTTTCTTGGAATCGAGGTTGCACGATCCAAGCATGGTATTTTTCTGTCTCAACGGAAGTATGTTCTTGATTTGTTAGCTGAAATAGGTGTGTTAGATTGCAAACCTGTTGACACTCTGATTGAGCAGAATCATCATCTGGGCTTATTTTCAGATCAAGTTCTTACTCATAAGGAACAATATCAAAGGCTTGTGGGGAAATTAATTTATTTGTCTCACACTCGCCCTGACATTGCTTATGCAATTAGTGTGGTAAGTCAATTTATGCACTCACCTAATGAAGCTCATATGGATGCAGTAACTCGTATTTTGAGGTACTTAAAGATGGCTCATGGTGAGACTTGGTTTTCTCTAAGAATGATCATTTGAATGTCGAAGGGTATATAGATGTAGATTGGGCAGGTTCTATCATTGATCAACAGTCTACATCTGGATACTTTACATTTGTGAGTGGTAATTTAGTTACTTGGAGAAGCAAGAAACAAAAAGTGGTGGCTAGGTCAAGTGCAAAAGCTAAGTTTCGTGGTATGTCTCATAGCGTATGTGAGTTGTTGTGGTTGAAAAAATTGTTGAGAGACCTTGGGTTTAAACCCAATGGTGCTATGAAACTTCATTGTGATAACAAGGCTGCTATTGAGATTGCTTATAATCCAGTGCAATATGATCGAACAAAACATGTGGAGATTGATTGACATTTCATCAAGGAAAAATTGGATGCTGAAATTATTATGTTTTCGTTTGTGGGATTTGAAGATCAACTCGCTGATGTCCTTACTAAGGCTATGTCTAATAGTGTGTTTTCCAACTCGCTTAACAAGTTGGGCATGCATGACATCTTTGCACCAACTTGAGGGGGAGTGTTGCGAGTTCTATATTAGTTAAAGTGTAAATAGTAGTTTATTGTCCCACATTGGTGAAGTACATATGTAATACCAATTATAACTCCTAGGTATATTCCACTTTGAAGATTAATGAATATATAAGAAATTCTCAAATATTGTCATATATATTTTTGGTATTTACCATATTTAGTGTAATACCTACTTCCTTGGATTTGAACCCTTTGAGAGTGTCGTAAATGGATCTCGTTGATCGGTCTCCGAACTTGTTGGCATTGAAGGAATTGATTCCGTTGAAGCCATGGAAGACGCCGCCACCTCCGTTGTCACATTGTTGATACGAGAAGTATATGGAGGTGAAAGATGGGTCAAGAGTGTATTGGGCGCTGAAGATTGTGTTACAGAGTGAAGATAAGGATAATATTATGAACGTTGAAATTCCATATGAATGATTGTTTGAGTTCGTTGACAAGTTTGTCGTCAGGAAAGTTAGGGTTTGGATTTACCAGGTACTTGGGAAGATATTAAGCTTACCAAAGTATGATGCGTTATCATAGTTAACGACGCTTATGAATGTGTTTTTTGTTTGTTTGTTTAGGTTTGTGCATAATTTTCTAAGGGGTGTGATATCCACACACCCTATTTTACTTCTCACACACCTTTTTAATTTTCGGCCGTCGGATCGGATGAATTGAAGAAGATCAACGGACATGAATTATCAAGGGGTGTGTGAGAAGTAAAATGGGATGTGTGGATAGCACACCCCTTTTCTAATCTCTCATTAGATGTAAATTATGACGTGCCAATTGTCTCTGACTTTTAGTTTTTAAATTTTGTTTTGCCTCTTAACCAAACGACGTCGCATATGGCCTAACATTCGCGCGACAGTCTCTCCTCACTCTTTTCTTTCCACCGTCTCCTTTCTCCTGTCTTCGCAGTGTTGGGAAGACTGAAGCTCAGCTATGGCGTTAACCAAATCAACCCTCCATTTCCGCCGCTTTCTCTCTCCCATTCCGCCGCGAATTCTCAAACCCTACTCTTTCTCTTCAGCTTCAGAAGCCCATCTTCAAGAGACCGACACCCCAGATGACGATTCCCAAACTGCCCCTGTCCCCTACCTATCCGCCGACGAAACCCTAATCGCCGACAAATTCCACTCCCTCATCAAAGACCACCACCGCAACAACCCCAATCCTAATCCCAACCCCCATCCCCCGAACCCCACGTTCACAATCCCTGCTCTCTCGCAAGACTTCTCCCAAATCTCCGCCGTCCATTCTGTATCTCCCTCCGTCGTCCGCAGCGTGATCAAGAAGTGCGGTGGTGTACGCCACGGCATCCCTTTGGTCCAGGCAGTTGCCTTCTTCAACTGGGCCACGGCCCGCGACGGGTTCGAGCAGAAATCGGAGCCCTACAACGAGATGGTCGACCTCTCTGGAAAGGTGAGGCAGTTCGATTTGGCTTGGCACGTGATCGACCTGATGAAAGCTCGGAATGTTGAGATTACGGTCGAGACCTTCTCGAACCTTGTCCGGCGATACGTAAGGGCCGGATTGGCTGCGGAGGCGGTGCACGCGTTTAATCGTATGGAGGAGTACGGTTGCGCGCCTGATAGGATGGCTTTCTCGGTAGTGATTGGGATTCTGTGCAAGAAGAGACGGGCCAGCGAAGCGCAGTCGTTTTTCGATAGCTTGAAGCATAAGTTTGAAGTTGACGTTATACTCTACACTAGCTTGGTTAATGGCTGGTGCCGAGCTGGTAATATCTCGGAGGCGGAGAGGGTATTCCGGGACATGAAGGCGGCCGGGATCATGCCGAATGTGTATACTTACAGCATTGTGATCGATGGTTTGTGCAGGTGCGGCCAAATTACGCGTGCCCATGATGTTTTCGCTGAGATGATTGATGCCGGATGCCAACCAAATTCGATTACTTTCAATAATCTGATGAGGGTTCATGTGAAGGCTGGCCGGACTGAGAAGGTGTTGCAAGTTTGTAATCAGATGAAGAGGCTGGGATGCAATGCGGATGCAATTACTTATAATTTTCTTATAGAGTGTCACTGCAAGGACGAGAATCTTGAAGATGCAGTTAAGGTGCTCGATTTGATGGTTAAGAAAGGCTGCACCCCGAATGCATCGAGCTTCAATCCCATATTTCGGTGCATTTCGAAGTTGAAGGATGTGAATGGTGCTCACAGAATGTATGCTAAGATGAAGGAGTTGAAGTGCGAGTTGAACACGGTGACCTACAATATACTAATGCAGATGTTTGCGGAGTCTAAATCGACTCATATGGTGCTGAAGCTGAAGAGGGAAATGGATGAGAACGAAGTTGAACCGAACGTGAACACGTACAAGGTTTTGATCTCCATGTATTGTGGAATGGGGCATTGGAACAATGCCTACAGGTATTGCAGGGAGATGATTGAGGAGAAATGCTTGAAACCGAGTATGCCGGTGTATGAGATGGTTCTAGAACAGTTGAGGAAGTCAGGGCAGTTGAAGAAGCATGAGGAATTGGTGGAGAAGATGGTCGATAGGGGCTTCGTTACACGGCCGTTGGCTGTGTAGTCTGTAGGAGTAGCTTAGCTGCATTGCTTGCATTAGATTAGTCATCGGATTACCTGTTTCGTTACGAATTTACGATGTAGCGTTTTATGTTTGGGAGTTGGGAGGATCACAATTTTGACGATTTTTAACAGAAAATTGTAACACAAGAAAGACGAATGAATTCGAAACAAATGCGGAATGGGTCGCATGTTCATGTTCAAAAACTACAAATTAAGGAATAAGAACTAATGACCTTGCATGTCAAGCATCTCGTCGAGACATTTCAGTCTCTCCAATCCTTCACTAAGCAGAAAACGAGTCCGTTGCCTGTCATTGCAGTGCCGGTTGTTCTCCAGTTCTTGTCGAATCATCGATCTTAGTTCACCTGTAAACATCAACCGCCTTTCCATCAAATTACAAAGGAACACACACACTGTATCATTTTCGTGCCTGTTAAAATATATACCAAGACTAAAAGTACTAATGAGTGTAATGGGCAAGAACAATGTGGTATTTCATCCAGAAATCTGTTGTTTAGTAGGGTAAGGGTGCCCCAAGCTCGCTTAGAGAAAGTCAGGAAAACGTCTATATGTTATTTAAAAGGAAAATTAATGAAAAAGACTTAAAAACTTAGAGTACTAACGATAATGATAAAATAAAAGATAAAGTAAATAGTATCAATATTAACTTTTCAGTGTAAAAATATGATTTTTTGTTAAAGTTAACGAGAACTTTTCGTTCTCTTATTTGGAAAAGAGTGGTAAGGAGTGAGTAAGTTAACCTCTGGAATCCACAGGGGCTCTTCGGGTTATACGAAGTGCTTGCCTATAAAGCTTCAAGACTCGACCGCGGAGAAGGAAGTCCTGCAAATCAAGGGCTTTAGCCATATCCCCGACACTCACTCCTTCCCTCAAAAAATACCTACAAACACAAAACACAACTAAATTAATTAATTAGACTTTTTATCATATTTTCATCTCTTTATTTTCTTTTTTAATTACACTTTCTGGCTATGAAATTCAGATCAGAGACCGGATCCTCATTTCTTCAATTTCTAATTGATCTCGCAGCTTGGATTTCATAAATGGAGGCAACAAACATGAAAATTGTACCAGAAGTTACTTTTAATTTAAAGAATAAAAATAAACAGCAATATCTGCAGACCTTGAGGAAAAGAAAGGGGGCTGCAGCCTGCAGCAGTAGCAATAGAAGGAGCTTGTTGGTCTGAGGAGTTGACGGCCGCCTTGTGCTAACTCCGACGTTTGTAATTGGTCCTTCAATTGGTCTCAATTTGTTGATGAGCCCAACTTTTGTTGCCCAAAAGAAGCTGGGCTTCTCTTACTGAATGTTGCTCTGTCTAGGAAGGCCTTTACCGATCTTTCTTTTTGTTCAACTCATAATGCTTTTTTCTTTAAAAACTTTAACGAAAAACTCCTGGTACTGTTTACTTTAACGAAAAGCTACATTTTTACACTAAAAATTCAATCATGATACTATTCATTTTACCCTTTATTTTGTCCTTATCATTAAAACTCAAAGTTTTCAATCCATTTTCATTAATTTTCCTATTTTCTTTACGATTTAGTAATATTAATCTTTACTTGTAAGTTATAAGTTTTAGATTCAAATCTCGTGAATGATGAGTTTGTAACTAATTTATTCTCCACCCCATAGTGTAATTATAAACAAACAAACAAAAAAATATTTTCAATATGCTCAATGAAATCAACTATGCAAACAACAATTGTCTTGCACCAATAATAGCCGTATTTGACAAAAAGTGAAACATTGTATTGAGTCATTGACCAATCCACCGTTCGTGAATGGATTGGAATACCGCCACGCAAAGTAAAGATTAAGGTTTGAAGGTTGCCCTAGAGCTAGATCTTCAATAGGAAGCTTCAAAAGTTTTTCCCATAAGATTTGCTCACGAACACGCATGGTCCACAGAACATGGAAATAACACCCAGCTACCTACTTGTTTTGTGTTAGCAGTGCTTCTTGGCTCTTTTGCTGGCATTTTCTAAACTCCTAACAAATATTTAATTAAATCCGTATAATAATTATGATGCATGTCGTCGTCATCTTAAAAGTTGACGTACGTCGGAAATGCATGTCTTCCGGTGACGAGTCTGTGATGCAGACCAAGTGTATATGTTTGACCTTATTAATGGAGAGTTAATCAAGCTCAAGCTCCTATGAATGAAGACGAAATACATCATTATAACTTATACTAATCAAATTTTCATATGGTGGACCAATTCAATTTTGTTTCCAAAACAAACCAATCACAGCTAATTGTATTTTAGCTTACTAATTAATTATTGTCATTAGGCCCATGAACGTGACACTTTCCACACCAACCAGCCGATCCCAATGGTTTGGTCATGTTAATTATACTTATCACTCTAGGGAGAATTATAATGTTCACACACTCAGTCAAGGAATCGATGTTCATACTAGTCATCACTCAAAACAAATCAAATAATTTGATAAATCTCAACCATTCGAACTTTATGCATTGCAAAATCATAGTTAGATGAACTCTTAATTACTTGACTTACAAGCTCATCAGCCTTGCATATAACCAATTTATCGAGTAGTCAATTATGTTCTGCACAAGTTAAACAAGATGAACAAAAGTTTTTCTAAAGTTTTTTGTCCCTAATTTGGAAAAAAAAAAAATTCTTCCTAATGATTTTGTTATGTAAGTTGGTGAAACAGTTAAGTTGGTACATAGCATATATCTTCTTGTAATTTAATCAACTACGTACACCGTACACGTTTTGTCAAACTTATCTTTTATTTCCCAATTTGAAAAGGAAAATAACCTTATATTTCCGAATTGAAAGTTGTCATATTATCTTTTGAAATTTTCGACAAAAAAATAAAATTATCTTTTGAAATCCACGTGTAATATTCAATGATTGGATCAACGTTTAAGAGGTCCCTCATAAAGGGTTGACAAGTCAATTCCTAAGCATTGCTTAAGTTGTTTACTTCGGTTTAGCCCGTGGATTAGAAATAAAAAAACGTTTATCTAAATTAAATCTCGTGCAGAAAAATCCAGAAACCTGCATGAAACGCAAGCTGTATTATTCAATTCAGTCGAGCAAATATGGGCTTGCTAGGTCACACACACCTCCCTTGTTTGACCATCCCCTCTCTCTTCTTGACATTGTCAGAAAAGTACACATATATATATATATACACACACACACAAACACATGCATATATGTATATGTGTGTACACACAAATATATATAAGTAGTGCTGCTGGATAAGCGATTTAACACAATTTCTTTATCCTCCTCAACGTCCAAAGCGTGCAACAAGATTAGGGTTATTCTTTTACATGCAACAATGGATCATCAGAAACAAGGTAAAACAAAAAACAAGATCCTGAAGTTTCTACCAAAAGCTGCTTCCGGTGTTTCTTTTCACAGCCGTCCTTACAGCCCTAACAGAGAAGCCGCCGCCAAGCTTAAAGCTCAAGGGCGGCGAGGGTTTTCCGGCCCCTTAATGATTCCAGATCAAGTCCGAAGAAAACAGAGAAACGGAAGCTTTGACGGTCAGACACAAGAGGAGGAGCCGACTTCGCCGAAAGTGTCGTGCATGGGACAGATCAAGCACAAGAAGCACATTAACAAGATAAATCGCGTTAATTTGATCCCTAAAGATCGTCAAAAATCAAAGCCTCCGGCACCGTGGTCGCCGCGTGAGATCAAGAAGCACGGTTTTCAGTTCCGGAGGATGTTTAGCAACATTAACCCCGGAAGAAAATCTGAATCTGATGCCAGTGATCTTGATCGTAGTCGGACGGCTCCATCTCTTCCGGATATGGCGCCTTCGTTGAATCAGATGAAGAGATTTTCAAGCGGACGTGGCCATGCGTTCGAAAACTTCGATTGGGAATCTTCTCATAATATTATGAATAATCATCGCGATTATTCGGATGAAGAGAGAGAAGACAGCGATGAGAGGGAAGAAGATGTTAGAATCGCATTCTCAGCGCCTCTAGGGATTGGAGGAAGAAATCAATTTCATCAAGTTCCTTTGCAGCCAAAGAAAGAAATCAATCTATGGAAGAGAAGAACAATGGCACCCCCTATTCCTCTAGAATTGAAACCCATGGTCTAATTAAATTGTTCATAATTGTTTCGGTTTATCATACATTCTTTTTTAGATTAGGGTTCTTTTTGGGTGTAAAATTTTATGGAAAATTATGTTAATACATACACATGTATTGGACAAAAGTTAGGATCCATAAGATCTTTTTGGCCGCACGGTTTAGCTTTCTTGTGCTTAATTATGCTTTTGATGATGTTTTGCTTAATTTGGAAGTGTGAATGCAGCATTCAAACTAGAATACTGTTTCAGCAACTAGTGCAAGATGTTTAACTTAGTCTTCTTTTTCTAATTGATGAAAATTATATAAAACTAATATGGTGGGCGCATATATATATATATATATTAGAATTAAAAATATTAAAACCATCTTTGGATATATATTGGGGCAAATTTGGTTAATATATACCAGTCAGGCATGCGGCTGTCACAATTGAAAATAAGGTTAACAAATTGATTGGTGGTTTACCCGTCGAATCTATATTATTGTAAAATTAATTGGCAATGCTACAATCCGTCATTTTTAAAACAAGAAAATGAGTTTTTAATGGTCCATGAATTTTAACTTGGTTGTTGTCATATTTTTAAGCTTTTCGATCTAAGCTAATATAATTATATAGTTAATTTGCATTTAGTCATTGCATGTTCTCAAAATAACAGCCTTAGAAGAGCAGAACTCCATATTTATACCTGAATGAAGGGCTATGATGCATTTATTTAACCAAGATTTGCAACTTTAAAACACCAATTTCGGGTTCAATTCTCAAAAATAAGGTGACAAGTAAATATCAATTCGTGCCCTGCATGTTTGAATACTCTGAGATTCGGTCACCTTCGCACGTCCATTATTTTTATCAATAATACACAGCTGACCAACTTTGACTGGATCCAACCTTTGTAAAAGACTAGGCAACCTCTGAATCTGTGACATGCCCACTAACACAATCGGGTGGATCTTACTGAGTCAGTTTGGGCCTTTGGCCCATTGATTTTCTACAACAAATGTTGCCTACAAACTGTTTCAAGCCTCAATCCACACTGGTCTTCCGTTTTTTTTTTTTTTAACAAACGATATTATTTACACTAAATAATGAGGGATCTAAACCTCATGATGGGTTAACAATATGATTCAAATTCACCTTTAACGAGAGTCGAACCTAAGACCTCTCACTTACAAGTGGGGAATATCACTAAACCGTAGTACTAAGTGGTTGGTCTTCCTTCCTTTTAAGGCCTTCATCTATAGTCCTAAGTTCCTATCTCCTTAATTAACAATGCATAATTCCTCCCTTCTAGAGATATTTTTATTATGGTATTACTGGATCTCAAATTTGTTTATGCAAGCGTTGTCCATATAAGACAATTCTACTAAAGTTTATCTCATTCAAGAGTACTATGTATTAGGTTCTTAATACATTTCTCTTTTCTTGAGCTAGAACATATCCGAAGTCTAATTCAACTTCATGTATTTTGGTTACACAAATAAAGTACAAATTTTGTAAAATTAAATTTGAACATTGTAATTTGTTGATAATTAACCTAGTAAGTCACACGGACTCCTTGGTATCTCAGAATTTCACCAATAAGCTCTCCTTTACCAGAACCCACATATCTTCCACAAATTTCACCATCTCTAATGAACAAGAAAGTAGGCACCTCCACCACCTCCATGTCCTTGAGGAACTGCATGCAGCTGTCGTTCTCATCGCCGTTCATCCTCGCAAACACCACCGTGTCCGACATCTTCTTCGACAGCTTCACCACCGTCGGATACACCTTGACACAGGGCCCACAATGCTTGAGCCCCACGTCAAGCACAATCAGCTTGCTGTCCACCTTATGATCCTCAATCAGCTTCTCTACGTCCTCCTTCTGATGCAGCTGAACCACCGCGGAGTGGTTGTCGCCGTAATACAACACGTCCCCCCTCAGCCGATCGCCGTCTATTCCTTCCTCCTCGTGAATCTTCTCCATGCTCTTGTAGAAGCTGAAGTGGGGAACTTTGTCGATGTTCTCTCTCCTGCAGAGCTCTCGGGTGTCTTCCGACTCGTCACCCATGACCAATAAAAACTCTACGTCGTTACACGTGCGGCTGAGGTCGACCATGAAAGGGTACATTTTTTGGCTCTGGGCGCTGTCGCTGGCGGCAAACTCGACGACAACGAGCTTGTTTTTGGCCAACTCGAGGGCCTCGTCGAATTCCTGGATGCTGTGCACTCGCTGAACTCTCTCGTCACTTCGAACCTCTTTAGTGCCGGTGGTGGCTCTGGCGTTGATGGTGAAGTTGCGGAATTGGTTTCTTTTTGTTTCAAGTTTTGTAGGTAAAGGTTTAAGCTTCGTCACCAAACTTAAACCTTTACCAACATAACAACTTGTTCTTGGGATTGAAAATTGAGATGACGAAAGTGGTTTGACTATGAAATTTGTGATGGTCGCCATTGAAGGTAGGGTAGGAAGATTTGGTTTGCGTTGCTTTGCTTATTCAAACCTATGAGAGTGTTGGGAGACTGGTGTGGAATTATCTTGAAATCTCAGTAGCCACTGCTTTGTGTGGTTCATATGATCCATTGAGGCAATATATAAGGGTGATTTTATGAACATATCCTTATTTTGTGGTTTCAATCTTTCATTGTCTTTGCTGTGTACGGTAAAGCCTAAAATATCTTATTTTGTGGTTTCAATCTCTCTTGACATACATGAAACCCATAAGTAGGCTCAAATCATTGATCCACAAAATTTGGGCTTATATAATCTGTATATAGGACTAGTATTTGTACATTTCAAATGGGTTTGAGGTAACAATAAGTTGTTGAGTAATGAAAATGCACCTTATATTATAGGTTTTTTTTTTTTTTTGAAACTGAAACTTTAACGAAAAACTCCAAATACTGTTCACTTTAACGAAAAATCACGTTTTTACACTAAAGATTCAATCCTGGTACCATTCACTTTACCTTTTATTTTAAGGAAAACTAATGAAAAGGGTTTGAAGACTTTGAGTTTTAATGATAAGGACAAAATAATGAATAAAGTAAATAGTACTAGGATTGACTTTTTAGTGTAAAAATGTGGTTTTTCGTTAAAGTGAACAGTACCAGGTGCTTTTCGTTAAAGTTCCCTTTATTTTATTCTTATTATTAAAACTAAAAGTTTTTAAGCTCCTTTCATTAGTTTTCCTTTTTTGTGTTGGTCAACACCTTAAATTATAGTTTGATGGTCTGTTTGGGATTGTTTATCTAAAAAAAAAGTTCCAATTTTTCTACAATAAGGGCATCTTGGGGGAGAAGCGAATCCTTGCCATTAAATTTGTTGATGCACAGAACCGGATGGTCTTTGGTACAACAGAAAGTGTCAGGTTTTGTGACCTTCGCTTGGTTGCTTCGGTCACTAGTGAGGATAACTACGTAAATGAATAGAGACAAAGAAGCAAACACAGGATGTACGTGGTTCACCCAGATTGGCTACGTCCACGGAGTAGAGGAGTTCTCATTAATTGTGAAGGGTTTACACAAATACATAGGTTCAAGCTCTGGTTTAGTGAGTTCTAGTGAATAGTTTAGTACAAAATGACATTAGAGATTATTGTGGGAGAATGGTCCCTATTTATAGAGGAGAGTTTTTAGTTTTGTTCTAACATCGACACGTGTCGTGTTGTGATTGGCTTCTGATGTTGACACGTGTCGAGCTGTGATTGGCTTCTGATGTCAACACGTGTCGCATTGTGATTGGCCTCCTGGTTGAAGGGAAGCTCTTCTAGGTCCTTGACGGTATAACGTTGACCGGTGCTCAGTAGTTTCGGGATTGGTCAAGTATAGTACAAACAGTGCTCCCCTAAGTTCCCGAGTGAGGGAAGCTTCTCAGTTGGGGACTTGCAAGATCCAAGCCGCTGAGTAATCACGAAACTTCTAAGTACCGAGGTGTGGTATCATTTTCACTTGCCTTATCTGTCTCATATGTAGATGTGGCATCTTCTCTGGAAGTACTTTTCCTCCATCCAGGGGTGGTATCTTTAACCGATGAAGATGCACAAGGTAATGTATCAATTTCACTTGAAGCTTACTTGTAGTTTCGGGCTTGGTCAAGTGCGATACAAACCCTATAGTAGGAGTCCCCCAAGTCGCCGAGCTAGGAGATCTGCCGAAAGAGGTGACAGACAAGGTAAGCAGTCAAACTTCCAAGCAAGCAACCCAGGATCGGAGGTTCGTCTTCGGCTTCCGGTTGATTGTTCTCCTTTTCCTTGTCTCTCATTCAGCTGCCAGGATAAGGAGAAACAAATGGAGAAGATGTGATATGAGATACTTTTGCTTTTGAAGAAGTAACTTTCCACAGGCTAATTCTTGAACTGTGCTGGAGGGTTTTCTGGTTCCCTTCAGAGTATAAGGCCGACCCAAGAATTTGAGGGTCAAAACAAGTCCATCAAATCTAGAGTATGTGCGACCTTGATGATATGGGATACTGTTGCTGTTGACGGAATAGTGAATGTGGTATGGAAAAGTGTCGTGCTGTAGTGATCTGTTTCAGCTCACCGTTGAACCTTCTGCTTCAATCTTTTGCATGGCAGAAGTGGTGTGCAACATTTGCATTTAAATGGTCATTCAGAACATTCCTTCATAGTGACTCATCCACGCTTGGCAGCTTCAGTGTAAAGAGCCAATATCTGATCAACTGTCATGAGGTATTTGCTGGTGGAATTCGTGACCTTGACAGCAGTTGAGGATGAGTACTCGAGAGCAATGCTAAGTAAGCAACCAGGCAAAGGTTCGGGGCAGTCAGTTCCAGATTGGAGGTTTGATTTCAGGTTCCGACTGACTGCTCTCTTTCTCCTTGTCTTACAGGTGTGGACAAGGACAAAGACAAAGACAGGGAGAAAACATGATATGGGATACTCTTGCTTTCGACCCTGATGATATGAGATACTCTTGTTCTTGGTGTGGCTTATTGCTGAGGTATTATCGGGGGGAAATAAAGCTGAGTATTTCGAAAGGTTATGTTGAGGGTGCCTTCTCGAATGCGAGAAATGGTTGAGCATTTTTGCAGGTTTGTCTGTCCGTGGAGGAGGAAGGTCGATGTATATAGGGATTTCCCAATAACAAGTAGTAATGCTATTCTTTTACCCTTCTTGGTCACAACAATGTAGTGGGAGCTGCCAGCTTCACGTGTTTCAA